TGCCCGCAGCGCCCCCTTGGCCCTGCAGTCTCCATGGGACAGTCTCTTACCCGGGTCGTGCCCCTTCCTTTCAGACCTGACGGGGTGTAGGGCGGTGGCCGGCTGACGCCAGGAATGGAGGCCGTTTCCAGAATGTGGGACAGGTGGCCCAGACCCAAGTCTCATCGACCCCCGTCTCATCGACCCCCGGCTGGCTTTGGTTTGAACAGCAGGGTTTGTCTAGCTGTGGATTCACGGGGCTGCACAAAAGGACCCTTGAAGGTTTAGCGGCCGAGGTTCAGATGCGGCTTCTGCTGACTGCGTGCAGGTCACTGGCGCGGGCCTGGAACGGGTCAGCAGCTGTCTTTGGTGCTGGCAGCTCGGGGAGGGACCGGGAGGGCCTCAGACCCTGCCTGTCCTAGCTCTCTTTCTCTGCGATGGTTTCTCTTTGGCTGGAGGAGCCACGCCGTCAGCCTTCGGCTTTCGGAACCGAAGGACGTCTCCGGGCCATGCCGACCCTACAAATGCGCTCGGCTTTGTTCAACGTGTCCAGAAAGGAGAGAGAGTCTGCTAAGAGGCAGTGGGGGCCTAAAGCACGTGTTGGGCAAGGCCGAGCAGCAGAGGCAGCCAGAGCACCCCCTCTTCCCGGGGCCCTAGACTCGGTAGCTCCTGCCTGGGGGCCTTTGCTGTCTGCAGCTGTCGCCTTGACCACTTGAGATATCAAGCCCTCCCCTTCGGCCTCCTGCCTCCTTATCCCGCTCAAGTTTCCTCCAAAGCAGAAACCACCGAGTTACTCTGCATTTGTTTGCTGTCAGTCTCCTGTCACTGGAATAATCAGCTGGGTGGGGGCAGGGTCCTGCATTCTCCCTGATGCCCAGACGGAACTCAGCGCCTGGCCTGGGGCCACTGAGTGCATCCTGCAGGAGGCCCAGGCTGAGATGAGAGGCCGGTCCGGGTTCTGATCCAGCCATTGCCAGATGATGGGCTGGCCCGGTTCTGATCCCCCAGTCGCCGGCAGGAGGAGCCTGTCTGAGGGAAGGCATGGCCTGGCTGTTCTTCCTGTAGTCAGAGGGATCCAGGCGGGGCTATGTGGGGTGGACGCTGAGTGGTGGGTGGACTTTGGGTGCCTGTCTTAGGCTGGGTTCTCTAGAGAAGCAAAACCAGTGAAATTATATAGAGAGGGGGAGAGAGAGAGAAATTTCTCTCATGGAAATGGCTCCTGCAGTTGTAGAGGCTGACAAGTCCCAAGTCTGTGGAGGCTGGAGGCTTCCCCTGACTCACACAGGTGCAAGGGCTGACAAACCCCAGATCATGTGACAGGCGGGGGCTGAAGGCCATAGCTGTTGTTAGGGCTTGAGAGCGGGTTTGGATCCCAGCGACCCTCTGTACAACAGAACAAAACACTGCCCGGCCTGCGTCATCCTCACAATGTTCGTGGTGTCTGAGCCCACTGTCGCAACCACCGAGTCAGTCTCCCACGTCCTTCCTAGTTTGTAAGCTCCGCTGAAACCTGTCCACCATGAGTGACCCTGCTGGTACGCTAGCCATCACACTACCACACAGTGACAGACAGTGGTGGGAAGCCCACAGAGTTGGCCACAAAGACTTCTGTTCACGTTTCCCATCCAGGGACAGGAAGTGGACAGCACCGTTTCTCTGGTGGGCAGAAGGGGGCAGTGGCTGGAGGGTGATCAGGAGGAGGAGGGTCGGGAGGGGGAG